TGGAAAAATATGATTATGCCCATCATTAAAGGGCATAATCTTGAAGGATATCTAATGGGGACAAAGGAGTGTCCACCTGAATTTCTTACTACCCAAACGACAATCGGCCAGGGAGAAGCAGTTGAGATGACACAAAACTCAGAGTTTCAGAAATGGAACTCAGCCGACCAGCTGCTTATGGGATGGTTATATTCATCCATGACTCCAGAAATTGCCATGAAAGTAATGGGATGCAACACCTCGAACAAACTGTGGGTGGCTGTAGAGGAGAGTTTTGGAATATTGAATAAATCGCATGTGATATTCCTAACTGGCGAACTTCAGAGAATCAGGAAAGGATCCATGACAATGGATCAATATCTGACTGCCATCAAACAATTGGCTAATAACCTGGAGATAGCAGGTAAAAGTATTGATCAAAATGATCTCATTTCACAAGTTTTATCAGGCCTTGATGACGAATATGCACCTATAGTTGTTTAGATAACCAGTAGAGAGAACATTTCCTGGTATGAACTTTCGTCTGTACTTATGACCTTTGAGAGTCGACTTGAACACCTGAACCAAGTAAAAAATAACTTTTCCTCACTCACTGTTAGCCAGTCAAGTGTGCAGCTGGCACATCGAACTAATTCAGGTACTGGCAGAGGTTTTAGAAACACTAATAGTGGTAGATTTGCAATTCTCAGAGGAAGAACAAGGGGCAGAGGCAGAAGCATAACTGGAAGGCAAAGTGAAATCAGAGGTTCGTGTCAAATTTGTGGCCTGAGTAACCACTCTGCAAGCTGGTGCTACAACAGGTATGATGAGAGGTATATGGGAGGAAAAATCCATAACTCTGGACAGCAAAGTCACAATCCAACACCATCAGCCTATGTAGCTTCATCAAGAACTCTTGAAGATCCAGCTTGGGTTGTTGATTCTAGTGCCAGTAATCATGTGACATCAGACAAAGGTAAATTGAATACTATGAAAAAATATGAAGGGAAAGAAAAACTGATTGTTGGTAATGGTGATAGACTTCATATTGCTCATACTGGTAAAGGTATAATCTCTACCTTAAATAACAAGTCACTTGAGTTAAATAGACTGCTGCATGTTCCATCAATTAAAAGGAACTTGGTTAGTGTTTCACAGTTAACTAATGACAACAGAATTTTCATGGAATTTTATGCTAACTGCTGTCTTGTGAAGGATCTCCAGACGAAGAAGATCTTGCTGCGGGGAATGCTTAAGGACGGATTGTACCAGTTGCAGTTGCAAACACTCAAACCAGAAAATGCCTTACTCGAGTCACTTCACCAAAATAACTACCAGTGTTATACAACCCAGCCTAGTCGTGAAAATCAGTCTTCAGTCAGTAAAACTTCTGATTTAGAATTAGATCTTTGGCATAGAAGGTTTGAATACCTTTCAAATCATGTTTTGAGTCAAATCCTTAAATCGTGTAATAAAAGTTTTAAATCTAATGAAGTCTCTATTTTCCGTGATTCCTGCAAAATTGGAAAGTCTCATGCTCTCCCTTTTAACATTTCATCATCTCATGCTGCGAATCCACTTGAACTTATTCACTCTGACGTCTGGGGACCAGCCCCCTTAAATTCAACTTCAGGTTTTAGGTATTATGTAATTTTTGTGGATGATTATAGTCGGTATACATGGATCTATCCCATGAAACTCAAGTCAGAAACCTTGTCTATTTTTTCCCAGTTCAAAACCCTTGTTGAAAACAAACTAGATAGGAAAAT